AACTTAAATACCTGTATATCTATACCTACATGTTCCTACAGTGGGAAGCCCCGCCAGCCGAGGCGGGCACGCGCTAGCGTTTACAATTAGCATTGCCGATATGAACCGAGGTACTAGAATTAGATGAATCTCCAGCACTGCTGGTATTTGAAATATTCTTGGCCATACTGTTAACACTGATACTAGTAGTAGTGCTGGTATTGCTACCATAGCATGATTCACTAATCTCACATATTGAAAGTATCACTGGTATCAAAAGTATTAATAGTATTCCTAATACTCCAGGATACACCGTCGTCAACACGAAACCCTAAACCACAACATGAAACTAATACTTTCCTAGACAACTACCTACTATGCCAGGCCCACAATTTTGAGAAACTTAAGACCCGCAAGCCCTAAATCCTAGACCCCGAAGCCCTAAACCCGCAACCCTTCAACCCTTAAAAGTGACTCTCAACCCTACAGTTCGCGTTTACCCGCGCAGGTCAGGGAGAGGTTTGGGTTTAGGGTTTAGGGTTTCAGTCGATCCTGGGCGAGCAAGGCCTGATTCTGGTGCAGCAGGGGCAGGGCACGTTCGCAGTCGGTGACCAGCACCTGAAGGTTGAGAGCGCTTTCAGGTTTAGGGCTTGGAGTTGAGGGTTTAGGGTTTAGGGGTTTAGGGTTTAGAGTGAATGAGTTATGTCCTTAAGCCTTTCCATCTAACTAGCATCAATCAGCTATAATATGCTATAATCAAACAGTTTAGGGCTTAGGGTTTTAGGCTTCGAAGGCCCTAGACCCTCATTAAACCCTAAACCCCTAAACCTCGAAGGCCCCAAGCCCCAAACCCAAGCTGAAGGCTCAGGGCTTACAGCCTGCGGTCTGGCATGCTTCAAGTCAAGGTTTGACACTTGGGGGCGTAGGATTTTTAATATTCGGGCTTGAGGTTTATTAGGATGAATGAATGTAGTTAATTGGCTACTGCAACTCAATGACACTTCAGGGTCGGCTCGAGGAAGTTCAAGAGTTTGGGAGGTACTGCTGATCAAGGTATTGCCCCCTACGTCTCCGAATTAAGAGGAACTACAACTATGCGGAGCGGTAATTCTTACATGCACCTTACGGATCAGCACGAGATGTCCACGAAAGACAACAGGCATCTTAAGGAGTTCACCCGGCGGCAACTGCAGTTACAAACGACCTCGGTGCCATGTCCGTAGGACAAGCCGAAGTCAGACGCGTCACTGAACTGGTTATCACCCCTGTAATGATGGGATACTGAAGCATCCGGCCCAGCACGCCATCAACGCTGCCGAAAACAGAGACTCACAAACCCTAGACCTACCCCATCTAGCCTAACAAAATCCAAAACAAAAAATCAACCCCAGCTCTGCTTGAACCAGATTTCAAAACCCTAGAACCCTCAACCCAAACAGCAATAGGCCTGGATGTTAAATCCTCAAAGAACACAATGGCCGTGCTACTTCCGAGAAGCGTAAACCACCACACCTAAAGCTCGTCCCCAGAACCTCCAAAACTCTAGACCGCCACCCTGCTAAACCCTCAAGTCCCAAACATCCCAAATCTTCATCCCAAAACGGTAGGAACCGCAGCTATAATCCCTACATCATATATTCCCTACTTCCCTACTAACCCCCCCTAAACCCTAAAACCCTAAACCCTAAATCCTAAACCCTAAATCCTAAACCCTAAACCCTTGACCCTGAACCCTAAGCCCTAAACCCTAAACCCTAAAACTCTAAACCCTAAAACCCTAAGGGAATCCCCCAGCTTTGGGCATCCAAAGTACCGGCTTGGCTCCTGCTGCAGCGCAGGCCGCGCCCACGAGGCCTAAGCCGGCCCCCAACTCCTTGGCTTAGAGTTTAGGGTTCAGGGTTTGGGGTTTAGGGTTTGGGGTTCCGGGTTTAGGGTTTGGGGTTTAGCGTTTGGGGTTTGGGGTTTAGGGTTTAAGGCTTAGGGTAGGATGCCCCAAAACAAATCTTCAAAAGCTGGGGGAGCCCCTTTCAAAGACCTATAGTCCTTAAGGGGGACTATAGGGGTTTGGGGTTAAGGGAATAGGGGTTTAGGGATGTAGGGATTAAGGGATGGAGGTGCCGGGGATTTAGGATGCCCAACCCAGATACCAACACACTCCTTTAGTGATGGTAGGATCCATGGGAGGATTTAGGGTGGGTCTCTTTGAAGGGGTTCTAGGGCGTCATAGACAAGGTTTAGAATTAGGGTTTAGAGTTCAGGGTTGGTGGATGCTGGATTTAAGGAGGGTTGAGGGAGTGGTTGTTAGGTCCTAGGGAGTTTGCTACCTGGGGCCATTTAATATGAACAAGATTATCGTTGTTGCATAGCCTGTTTCTGTATGAGCCACTGTCTATACTCCAAGTATCCCCCCTTAAGAACCCCTATAAAACTTGCCTATATCAGCCCCAAATAACCCCTTTAAGGAGTTTGCACTATAGCTCATATATAAAGTATCTTTTAAACAGTCGCAACCGTATAGCTTGCCCCGTATTCTGCTGGGTTGGCCCCTAAACATTTTCGAAAAATATTAGCATAAAGGGTCCCTTATTAAAGCCATTAGGGAAAATATTAAATATCGCAGGGGCCTACCCAGTCTGAGCAGAGCCCAGGATCAAGAACGCTCTTGTTCTGGATCAGATCAGGATGGTCGCAGAGATACCTGGACCAGCTTAGGGTTCAGGGTTTAGGGTTTGAGGATTCAGGATTTAGGCTTCAGGGTCCAGAGTGTAGGGTTTGGGGTTTAGGGTTTAGGGTTGGGGATTTAGGGTTCAGGGTTGAGGTTTCAGGTTAGGGCTTGCTATGCCAGCTGGGAATTCCTCACGTGATCTGGTACTTCTTGGGTGGAACACTGTAGCAGGGAACCATGATTTTAGGCACTTTTCGTGTTGCTTTACTTGTCTTCCCAAGCTTGACAAGCTTTGGACGAATGCTCGTGTTTGGACATGATACGGTGCTTCCTAAGAATCCTGCATAACCCTCAGTACCTTATACCTTGGTGATTGTAGTACTATAGTATAGTAATGTTAGGCAGGATTTTTTATAATCAAGAAGATTGAAGGCTTCGGGTTCGGTTGGGGTTCGGCTGAACGGGCTTAGGATACTTCTCTCTTGGACATCAACCCTAAACCCAGCAGCAGCGCATCCAGCACCAGTAAGACTGAATCAGGCAGGAGCTCAGGAAACAGCGCCCGACTAGGTCTTTTTCTGAAGGATCTCAGCTCAGTCTTAGGTTTTCGGCTCGAAAGGTAACCCTGCTAAATGAAAAAAGAAAACAGTGCATCATACAGGGAACAAGCTGTTAAAACATGCTACACTCGGGGACCTTAGCTTAGTGAAGGAGATCTTGAATGAGGCGTCATGCTGACACGAAAAAAAGTTCTTCAGCACTTAGCGAAGGGTTGGGTCGCAACCAAGGCCTTTAGGGTTAAGGGGTTTGGGATTTAGGTTTTAGGGTTTAACTTTCGTAAAGTGTTGCCCCATGTTGCGCGCTACTTTCTAGCTGCCGTACGACAGTTGGCACCGAGAGGAAAACGAATTGTTTCGAGACAGCCCCATGTGGGAAGTGGACGTCAGAATATGAACCCCAGAACACCAAGGGACTCGAATATGAATACCATTCTCCCCCCTCGTGACTATGAGTGGGCAGAAGGGGCCTAACCTCCTAACCTAGATCCCCGATCTTGGGGTAGTCCATAACGTAGGCATGAAGATACCACAATCATGAGTTCCACGCCAAAGTCGACCGTGTTAAGGATTCTATCGTTGATATGTTTATCTATCCATGCATACTGTCATCTGTCTGTGTATCCCCGGCTTTCATACGCCACATGGACCCTGCAATCACTAGCTACCCCTTACTAGCAACTTCCATACATGAGCTTCTCGCGACAGTTTCAGCGCATAAGGCTGCAGCCAGGGTACACGGCCAGTCTACTCGCAGCTGGCCAAATCACAGAGGAAGTACCTTGAACGAAATCTCCCGACGTGGCCCCTCTCCTCAGCTCACGGAATGAAGCTCGAGGTTCCGCAATGGTAACAGGAATAATTCTAATATTCATAATACAACAATCAGTAACGATACTAATAAGAAAGATAATATTGCATGGAGCCTGAGGGGTCTTGAACTTTTAAAGGGCGATTTGGGCTTCACTGCCATGCTCATGCCATGCCTGCCTTATACATGCCATCAACGGTTGGAAATACATGCAATCCATGCTTTCACTGTTACGTCGGAGGAATGTAACCCTCCATATACCCTATACACTCCCCCAAACTAACATGGAAACCTGAGTAGACCCCCTTATAAGAGAAGCTGTTCTTCATGCGACCTTTTTTGGGGTTTCCACGTAAGTTTCCCTAAACACTAAACCCCAAAACCCCCCACATATCCCATAACTCCTTAAAACCCCTAAACCCCAAAACCACAAAACCCTAAAAACCCCCCATATACCACGTAATTCCTTGAAACGGACGGCCTCGCAAGTTGCAGAGAAGCTGCTGCTCCAAGCGGAGGGGCTTTGCCAGCAACCCATGGCTGAATTCCACGCAGTCCTAGGTTTAGGGTTTAGGGTTGAGGGTTCAGGGGTTTGGGGGTTTAGGAGTTTAGGAGTTTAGGGGTTTAGGGGTTTAGGGTTTATGGTGTAGCACTTCATAATAATGATAGTAATAATAGCTGTAATAATAGTAATAATAGTAGTGATTATTTTTGGGGGTTACATGAGTTACGTAGCAATTATAGTCCACAATAACTCCCCTAAACCCTAAACCCTGAACCCTAAACCGAAAGGTTTCCCAGGAGTACCCCAGGGTCAGCCCGCTGGTTGCAGCCGTGGATGGCCGCTGCTTCCATGGCTCATCCTCAGAATCCTGATCCTCCCGTGTCCTAGGGTTGATACTACAGATCCTGGTATTACTATTACTATTACTATTACTATTACTATTACTATTATTATTTCTAATATAATTACTATAATTATTACTATTACTATTACTAGTACTAGTACTAGTACTATTACTATTATTACTATTATCTTTATTAGTATTCTGATTACTATACATTACCCTGAGGATCTTCGACCTGAGGTAATGTAATATTGTATCCTAGTGCATTAAGACATTCAACATGTTAAATGTGAACGGTAGCCGCGTTGGTTCGGGTCAAGGGTTCGCCCTTGTTGCTGCAGCCCATAGCACCGCTGAAGCTGCGCAATGCTTACCCTTTGCACTCATGTTCCCACCAAACAAAACATGATATTGCAATGCAGTAAACGCCTCCGAGTAGGAACATGGTACAAGCAACATCTTGCCAGCATTGGTGGCATGGGGCTGTCTTGAGCAACTTGCTGACTTCGGCAGAGGCGCGGACTCTGTCCACGAGGCTCAGCATCAATCATGCAGACTTTGAGACATGCGCAGTATTGGAGTCACTGGAATCGCACACTTTGCAGACGTGTGGATGTGAAGGGAACGGTTTGAAGCTAATGTACCTTTCATCATTTCCAAACCCCAAATGCTACGCCAGTCAGAGGCAAAGAAAAGCAGGAACAAATACAAGACAATGGTACACCATACCGCTAACACCACAAGCAAAGCATCTAAAGGTGAAAGCCCCATAAACCAAAACTCATGGCGATGCACAGCCTGTTTCGCACCACAAGAAATAGTAAGTACTTCAATCCATCCCAGGACCTATCGGCAACACTGCGCTTTATGCTCATATTCCTAGACTTTGAGCCGCACGCTACTTGAAGCTCCACACGGGACACTACGCCTTGAAACCCTCTGAAAATCACGTAGATGCTGCTGCGAACTTGCAGGCCGCGTGATGCGTGGGAAGTCTGAACAGCTAAGTAGCGTAGCCCCCCACATGGTCGTTACTTCTACGGGCACCTGAAGTGCAATCCTGCTGTCCAAACTGCTGCAATTCAATGACCCTAAACCATAAACCCTCAACCCTAAACCCTTTCCGCGGAAGTAACCACATCCCTCGAGTTGCCTCATGTTGCTGAAACATTTAAGAAAATACTGGTGCACGGACGCTAAAGAGCTGACTCTTCAACCCTACCTTTGAAACCCTATAGCCCCCCTGAAATAGATTGAATTTGGGGTTTATATTGGGATAATGGAAAAGAAAATGGAAACTACTATTCAGGGTTTAGGGATAATAGTCCCCCTTAAGTAAGATCCCCATATACATCATATTCTATCTACTTAAGGGGGACTGCTAACCCTAGACCCCGCACCCCTGAGCCCAGCCCTGAGGCACTCTGAGGCTGAAGGCTCTGAATTGGTAGTCATAAAAGCGGACAGCACCGTCCGCTGTGCCGATGACCACCCGTGCCTTCGGGATCTTCTGGTTAGGGTTTCAAGGCTTAGGGCTACTTGGAGGTCCATGGGTACTTGCAAGAAGTTTTGGAAGTTCCCGGTGTTAGAAGAAAGGTAGACGATAAAGCACAGGAGGCGTTCAAGTCTCAGAACTGGCGGGTTTCTCCAAGCTGTCCCTATAGAAATCCTGAGCAGGACCTTTGAATGTGTCTTATAACCACCATACATCCCCCGGTATTGACAACACACAACTTACAGTCCACATGAAAAAACGCTGGCTCGCCAGGGCCGCGGCCTTCTCGTGGACTTGCAAAACCTGCAGCGCATGAAAAAAGGACACTTATACCTGAATCAAGGAGTCCAGGTTTAAGGTTTAAAGGTGCCGGGTGTGTGATAACAAGATCCCCATACACCCCATATTCTATCTACTTAGGGGGGACTATAAGGTTTAATGTCATGAGAAGTCAGAAAATTGGAACATCAAGGTCTCCCTACTTGACAGTGTGCAGGGCTCTGTTTGTGCTTATGAGCACCGCTTCTTCAACCAAGGCACAGGAAACAGTTAGGTAGAATTTTTGCTGGGTAACGCAAGTAAGGTCACGTTGTCCTTATGAGACATACTCTAGCCCAAAGGAGGATACAACCTTACTCTAATTTGGGGATGGTCCCAACAAATGAATTACATGCTCGTTTTCGGGATCCGTTCCCAAGCCCGGAACACTGAACCCTGTAAGCCTCCCAATACACTTGAGACTGTTGCCCCAAAATGCCCACTGAGCAAGCAGCCTAAACCCTACACCCCAAAACCCAAAACCCCAAACCCACAACCCCTGAACCCTGAACCCCAAAACCCTAAAGCTGAGCACCCCGCGTTTAGCGACACCTCCGGACACAGCCGGATGATTTTCACAGCACGTCGCTCGTCCGGCCGGCTCAGGCCATCTACCTTGGTGACCAGGCTGTACACCCTAAATTAGGGTTTAGGGTTTCGGGTTTAGGGTGTAGGGTTTAGGGTTTAGGGTAGGGTTTAGGGCTTCTACGGACCCATTGGGGTAACATTAGGGTTATATTGGGATTATATTGGGATAATGGAAAATCAGATGGAATCTACTATTTAGGGTTTAGGGCCAAGCTGTCCACCCTAATGTGGTAGAGTTAAGGGCTTAGTAGGGTTTAGGGCTATTACGTAGACCCTCAAATTCCCTATTAGGACCCTATTAAAGGTAGATTAAGGTACCTACTTAAGGGGGACTCTCGGGCTTTTGGGTTTCGGATATAGGTACCCATTGGGGTAATATTTGGGGTAGAAATTGGGGATATATTGGGATAATAGAAAATAAAATGGAAACTACCAGCTATGGTTTAGGGTTTAGGGTTTAGTGGGGTTTAGGGCTTAGTAGGGTTTAGGGCTTAGTAGGATTAGCGTTTAGTAGGGTTTAAAGGACCAAAGCTCTGGCTTGGTATGGTTTGGGGTTTAGGGTAGGATATAGGGTTTAGGGTTTAGAGTCCAGGGGTTTGGGTTTTGGGTTCAGGGTTGAGGGTTTAAGGTACAGGCTTCAGGATTTAGGTTTAGGGACCAAAGCTCTACACCCTAACCGGGATTGTGTGGAGGTATATAGAGGACTGGAAAAGTTAATCGAAGCTCATACCTAAACCCTAAACCCTAAACCCTAAAACCTAAACCCTAAACCCTCAAACTTTGACTTTGGGGATGGGGGTATCGGGAGTTGGCCCTAAACCCCGAAACCCTAAACTTTTGCATGGAGCTTTCATGGCCAAGGGCTTTGCACATGGAATTTGGCTGCAGGGCTTCGAATTCAGAAAGGCAATGGATTTAGATGAAGTACCCTAAACCCTAAACCCTAAAAGTTACCCTAAACCCTAAACCTCAGAACACAATTTTGCATGGCTGAGGACCAAGCCTAAACCCTGAGCCCCACAGTTAGGAGCTGTAACTACTATCAGTTGGGTAATGACTTTTGAAATTTTGGTTGAGCCTGGTAAGATTACATTCTTCGTAAAAAAAAAAACTATGCCCAAAAGAAGGATAGAATCTTACACTAGATTAGATGCCATAGCATCCACAAATAAAATACTACTCAGTTGACGGTTCTAAGCCTAACGTTCCGCTCCTTAAAATGAGTCAACTCAGATGCAGTATACAGGCTTCGAGGCCTAGGTTTGCTGGGCAGGAATGTGAAATCCATATTCGTGCATACAAGACACTTTGGGATATAACCAGGCTATACTGGGTTGCTGTTAAGGAACTTGAGTAAGGTTACCATACTACGAGTATACGGTATATCGTAACACAAAAACAAGGTTTCCTTACTATAGTAACTTAGTTGAGCTCTTTCACAGCAACTCAGTACAAGTCGTGCATCCTCCTACCTAGCTTACTCGCGTTGAGTAGTACACGGAGGAAAGATAATACTACCTTTATCATGCCCACTGATGATCCGCATATCGTCAGAATTAAAAACCCTTACTAACTATCCGGAGCCGCCCTACACCCTTGACCCTAAACCCTAAGCCCTAAGCCCCGTCAACTCCTTTACATGAATCCCCTGCCCATTTGGAAACAAGCCCACGCCGCCCTGATATGAATATTCACCATGTAGTAGGTAGTATTGGGGTGATATTGGGGTTATGTTGGGGTTATGTTGGGGTTATGTTGGGGTGATGTTGGGGTTATGTTGGGGTTATGTTGGGGTTATGTTGGGGCTATGTTGGGGTGATATTGGGGTTATGTTGGGGTTATGTTGGGGTTATGTTGGGATAATGGAACATAAAATGCTATTTAGGGTACCATGTCGTACCCCTTCCATGCTAAACAGGTTGGGCGCATGGGGTTTCCAGAGTTACCCCGCCCCTACCCCGTGAGACTGCTTTGAATCAGGAGCATACAAGGGGGGACCCGGGTCTTGGAAGCAACCACATGACTGTAAACCAGGGCCAAGCTGCAAACTCTGTGGCCGTTGAATGAGTGGAGTCTGTTCATCTTCAACAGCACTTCCGTGAAACAGGATCTAAAAAGGAAACTCCTAGAACAACGACCATACAGACCATGGGCATCGTTAATGTAGCAAACCCTTACTTCCAGACCGCAACGAGGCCTCAACCCTAAGACACACTCAACCCAGGCGACAGTTGAGGTCCCTGCAATTAATGACAGGTCCCATATGACCACATCACCATCGATCGTGCCAGTAGCAGCCTTTTTCCGCATCAAGGGGGTTTAAACTGACTACCTGGCAAAGTCCTCAAACGTAAGCCCTATAAAACCCCAATATATCATTACTATTATGATCATTATTATTGTTATTGTTATTATTATTATTACTATTATTATTATAGCTTCCACTACTTTCCATTATCCCCATATAACCCCAACATATACAATGTCCTGCATTTTAAGAACATATAATCCCCCTTAAGTAGATAGAATATAGGGTATACAGGGATCTTACTATAATATACCCAAGGCCATATTCTATCTACTTAAGAGTGACTATAGTCAGCTAT